GGGGCCGGAGACAGCAGGGCTCGCCATAGCTACTGACTGGCGGTGGGGTCATCGAGTTGAACATGGTGTCTCAGAGGAGAGTGTGGGGACACTGTAGGAAGGGAAGGGAGATCTGCAAGTTACAGAGGCAGGAAGGAGATAAGGAAGGTCAGACAACTAAGATCTAGAACCCTGGGCAGGGTCCCTCTAAGACACCTGCCATGGAGAATCAACGTGAAATGAGCATCCCTCAGCCAGAGGCAGGGGGAGGAAAAGAGCCCCAAAGAAGCAGAGGCAGTCCTGGGGGTCCTTGTGGGAACGGAGTGCCATCTTTGCCTGAGTGGTCTAAGTGCACGTGTTCACGCCTGTGTGTGTGCAGGGGGGAGGGTTATGGACCTAATGAGCCTGTATGAGCCTCAGGTGATTTTATGCCGTGGGCCCTCCACATCTTCTGGCTCTGACCCGGGGCGGCCTTGAGGGGTGGGATGGGGAACCCCTGGGGAACCCCTTTGCCGCCCCGGAGCGCCCGTCTCCAATCTCGGCGGCACCCAGCAGAGGGAGCTCTCGCCTCGGGCCGCGCGGGGAGGCCGGTGGGCCGGGAGGGAGCACGGAGGAGCGGCCCTTCTCTCTTTAAGGCAGAAAACTGTAGATAGAGAAGGGGCTAAGGTTTCTGAGGGGAGCCTCCCGGGTCTGTTGGGTACAAAGAGTGGAAACTGGTGTTGTCCTGGGGCAGAATGAATCCGGGCGCCCCCCTAACTTGCTCTGTTTGTGGGGAGCAGGAAAGGGCCAGCAAGAGAAAGGCCCGGGGAGAAGGGAAGGCACAGCCACCATCCAGGGGAGAAGAGCTGCGGGAGGAGAGGGCTGGGCCGGCGCTTCCCTCCTCAAACTCCGGCTTCGGCTCCAGCCCGGGTTTTCCCGCCTCCCGGGGCCGAGGGTGGGGTGGGGCGGGGTAGGGTGGAGAGCGCTCGGGAGCGGGCCGGCCGGCGCGGTGGGTGATCCCGGGATGCTGGGATTTAGGGTAAGGGCGGGGTGAGATGGGGAGCGGAACCCGGACCCCACGACGCAGCCCGAGCCCCGCAGCCGGGACCGTACCCTTCCTAACTCCTCCTCTCCCAGCGCAGGGCCGGGCCCCGCATCCAAGACCTCCCAACTCGACCTTGGCACTTTGTGTGTGTGGGAGGGGGGGCACAGCTGGCTGGCAGCTGGATAGGGGGGACACTTCTCCCGCCTCCTTCCTCTATGACTCACCGGGGGAAGGAGGCGGGGCCCGCAGACGACCCCCCAATACTAAGGAGACTCCCCCAAACGTGCCTACTCGGGCATCTTCCCGCGCCACTGCCCGCCGCCGAGGGGCCGCGACTAAACGGGGCGACATCCCCGCTCGCCCACGCGTGCCACAGCCCACCCACGTCTCCCCTTCGCCCTGGCGACAGGAAAATTTCGCCGTTTCCAGCTTCAGTTACGTTTTTTTCTGGGGTGTGGATGAGAGCGCAGGCCGGGGCAGGGGGCTGAGGGTCGCCTTGCTGGAGCCCTGAATCACCCTCGGCGTCTCCCTACTTTCCGGAGGCCCCCTCGTACCCCCGCTCCCCAACTCCCAGGAGTAGGCCCCGCCCCCTCCTCCGGGTCCCGCCTTCCCCGCCCCCGTGCCTCCTCGGCCCACCCAAGTCGCCGCCGCAGGCTCTGGCTGCAGACGGCTCCGCTTCCCCCGCCCGCCCGGGAGCCCAGTGGAGCGAGCCGCGGCGGAGGGGGCGGGGGGGCGGGGGGCGGGACCCATTCTTCCCTCCTCCCCTCTGTGCGGCCTGAAAGCTGGCAGCGGCGCCCGGGGGGCGGCGGGCACTGTTGGAGGGTGGGGGGGGGGTCCCCGTGGCTGGGTGGAAAGGAAAGAAGAATCCAGAAACTATAGGGAAAGAAGGTGCCTGGGTAAATAAAACAAGGTGTGTATGGGAAGAGGGAGGGGTCAGGACACCTTGGGTTCAGATGATCGCAGCCGGCTTCCCAAGGGTTAACCCCTCCAGACCCCCGGGAACCCCTTAGTGACGTCAAGGGCGGGGTCTGTACAGCCTGGCTAGGGATGCCGGGGAGATAACTGGGGGGGGTGTCTCTGGACCCCGCCCCCATAGGGAAAACCACCCTAATTCCGGCCCTTACAACTCCCCGGGGAAATCGCCCCGCCTTCCCCTCCCACTGGACAGTGAAGATCTATCCTATGAAGACCCCCAGTTCTCCAGCCCCCAAAACCCTAAGTCCCCAGTCAATATGGGATCCCCTTTCCCTAATCCTGTCCCCAAAGCCAGCGGCCCAGGGCGGATTGTTTCGGGGTCACCGGGCCTGAAAGAGGCTTCAGAGCGGGGAGCAAGGGCAGGCAGGGTGGTCTGAGGCAGAGGAGGGGCCTCGGCCCCCAGCTCCCGTTGGGGAGGGGGGTCCAACCGGGATACTTAGGCAGGCAGTGGCCAGTGGTCCCGCCCAGTCCCAGTAGGGGTCTCCCTGCGGCTGGCCCAGCTGTCCCGGTGGTCCTGAGGTCAGAGGGTCAAGCCAGGGTCTCCTCAGCTCCGCCTCGGCACCCTGACCACGGCTCTGGGGACTCAGGAGTCCTGATTCCTTGAGGAGCCTTCTAGGGCCTAAACGAGACTCTGGCCCCTCCAGCCCCCTTCCTAATCCAGAAGACGCTCCGTTCCCCCAGAACACATGCACCAGCAAGCGCATCTGTCATAAGACAGGTCAGGGGTTCAAGCCGAGCCATCCCCCACTGGTTTGTCCCCTCTCACACACCCGTCTCCACCCCACCCAGGGCTCTCTCCGTGGCTGTTCCCTCCTTTCAGAAACCCTGATGTCTCCTGCGGCCCCGACACACCTGGACTTCCCTCCCTACCACGCAGACCTCCAGCTAGCCGTCCCTCCTGCCTCTTCATGCCAACCTCCTGGAAGTGACCTGTCCCTAATACATAGGAGAGGCAGAGACAGACAAAGAGATCCCCGGGTGCCTGGGACAGAGACACAGAGACTGTCAGAGGAAGAAGAAGAAGAAGAAGAAGAAGAAGAAGAAGAAGAAGAAGAAGAAGAAGAAGAAGAAGAAGAAGAAGAAGGAGAAGGAAGAAGAAGAAGAAGAAGAAGAAGAAGAAGAAGAAGAAGAAGAAGAAGAAGAAGAAGAAGGAGGAGGATACAGAGAAAGGGAGATACAAATGAAAAAAATCCTTCAAACTTTCTAGATCTCGGCCCGGGCTCTCCCACCCCCTTTGTGCCTGGGTGCCCCGGGTCTCCCTCTGGGCTGGCCAGAGCCCGTCGCGAGCAGGGCATCCCCTCGCCCCCTCCCCCACCGTTCCCAGGTGGTCCCCCGCCCGCCCCCCTTCTCACCTCCTTCTGGGCGCCGGGCTGGGGATGCGCGGTCCAGGGCTGGAGTGTGGGCTGGGGGGTGTGCGGTGGGGAGGGGGGGCGCACAGGGCCACGGCAGCGCAGCCTCATGCCACCCCCACCCCCTCCTAACCTGGCCGCCAGCCCTCCCGCCGGCCCAGCCCGCCGGGCCGCGAGCCGGGACCACCCGCGAGAAGCGCAAACTTTTTTTTTCCCTTTTGCAGAAACTTTTTCTCGCTCAGGCAGCTGGCGCGCCGCCGCTCTTCCCGCTCGCCTCTCACCTCCCTTCCACTTCCCTCCCTCTTGCCGCTCTGGAGAATGAGGCGGGGTAGCAAAAGCTAGAGAGGGGGTGCCGGGCTTATTGCACCCCCAGGACCCCCAGGATCCTCCCCCTCCCTGGAGGGACCCTATACTGCCTCCCCCCCCCCCGCTGAACACGCTGCTGCTGGTGGGCAATAAATCCCGGCATGGATCCTGGGATCGGCTGCCCACGGAGCGGCACCCCCACCCCAACCACAGTCAGAAAAAAAGTAACAAATACATTGGGAGGTGGGGGGCGATGAAAAAGTTAATCCAAGATAGATAATATTGGAGGTAGCACCGCCGACTTTGGTTGGTGCTGCGAGTATTCCGTCATCCTGCAGGTTATCTGTTGACCTCCCTCTTTCAGGGGAACATGAAGGGGTTAGGACAGATTTGGGGTTTGGTGCAAACAGGACTGGAACAGAGTTGGCTTAGAAGTGAAGGGTCTATAGGGCATCGAAGAGAGGGCAGCGGCTGAGGCTCCGGGTGCGGTTCACACTAATGAACCCTGGGGAGGCACGCAAGCGCTGTAACGCGGAGACCCCCCCCCCCCGCCCCGCCCCGTGTCCTGCGTCTCTAAATTCTGGAGACTGCGGGCACCTCCGCACCTCGAGGCCGCCCGCTCTCCGCTCTTCCAGGCTGTCTGCTCCCTCTGCTGGCCTCTCTGGCACATGGCACACTCCCGCAGGCTGCAGGTGGAGAAGACTGGGGGAGCTGCAGGAGTAGGAGGCTTCCCAGGTCCCCCCACCAAACCCCAGTTAGGAGCCCAGGGAGGGGTGTACGAGTCCAAAGAAACAGAAGGGCACCCTAGAAGAGGCTGCCAGTGCGGAACGGCAGCGTCTGAGAGGGGAGTGCCCTGTCCCTTCGGATCTGTGTTGCCATAGTGACTGGATGCAGGGGAAGGGGCAGCTATTTTAGTCTCTGTGACCTTTCTTTATGAGAAAGGGGAAAAAACGTGGTGAGGAAAAGGAGTCCCTTCCTTTCCTGTCACCCCTCAGATAGACCTCCCACATCCTAGCTCTGCTTCCAAGAAGCACCTTCTTGGGCCTGGAGAGTTAGTAGGTCAGCTATTAAGACTGAGGGTCAAGGGGAAAAGGTGAAAGTGGGAAGAGGTCTGAGGCCCTGCAAATATAGGTTGTAATTGTGGGGGAACAGATACAGAGTCCTGTTTCACTCTCCCTCCCCCATATGACTTTGGCCCAGACACCAGTTATATACCCAGAGGTCAGGCAAGACTAGCGGTCAGCGGGAGAAGGAGCCCTACACATTCTCCTGCCTCAGCCGTCTGCCCTTTCTTTCAGAGAAGCTCTTTTTTTTTAATTTTTAAAAGATTTTATTTATTAAAAAAAAGATTTTATTTATTTATTCACGAGAGACACACACACACACACACACACACACACACACACACAGAGGCAGAGACATAGGTGGAGGGAGAAGCAGGCTCAATGCGGGAGCCCAGTGCAGGACTCGATCTGGGACCTCTTGGATCACGACCTGACCTCAAGGCAGATGCTCAGGCGCTGAGCCATCCGGGCGCCCACAGAGAAGCTCTTTTAGAACACGCTGCTTTTTCCTCCTCACCTAGGTCTCCAGATTAGTGATTCTCCAAAATTTTGACTTTAGACCCCTTTACACTCCTTTTTTTTTTTTTAAGTAGCCTCCCTGTCCAACATGGGGCTTGGACTCACAACCCTAAGGTTAAGAGTCATCTGCTCTACCCACTGAGCCGCCCAGGCACCCTGCCTTTACACTCTTAAAATTTATTGATTTTTTGTTTATGTGGTTCATATCAATTTACTATATCAGAAATCAAAACCGAAAAAAGTTTGTAACACAAGAATACACAAGCACACATCCTATTAACAATGATGTCAGAAAGATGATGTAATCACATGCCACGTAGCCTCTGGAAAACTCCACTGTGTACTTTTGAGATAATGAAAATAAAAAAGGCATCTTAATATTATTATGAAAATAGTTTTGACTTGCAAACACTCCTGAAAAGGGTCTCAGGGACCTCCCAGGGGTCCCCAGACCTCACCTTGAAAACCACCCCCCCTGGGTCATCACCACAGCCCCTCTTTATGACTCAAATTTGTTGATTGATTTTTCCCCTCATTTTTATTGGGTAAGTATAAACATTTGTTTCCTCGGTGGGTCCTGTCCCCCACTGGGGAAAACCAGGAAACTTCTTAGGCTCAGCACCTCTCTCTCCTGGCTCCCATTTCTGGGGCCCTCCCAGACACCTCCTCTTAGCCCCCTGACCATCTCCTTCTTGGCCCTCCCTTAAAGCTCTTCCGCTGCTCCTGCCCTTGGCCAGCCTGGTTCCCCTGTCCGAGGTCTGCTTCCCTCACTCGAGGACTTTCTCTTCTTGGGAGAGACTAGGTAAATTTTCTCTGCCTTCTGCCCTCCCTCCATCCCTCCCTCACCTCTGCCACCTTCCCTTAGGGCTTAGGGGAGGAAATCATGCTTCCTGGGCAGACTCTTTCAGAGAACACACTTTCCCCATCTCCCCACACACCAGCCAGCAGCCTGGAACAGGCAAGATTCTGGATGAACAAGTGCCCATTTGGGTCACCCAGGTCACACTGCCACCCCGCCGTTGGGTAGGGGTGTGGGTCAGGAATGCAATGTGGCCCGCCACAGATGCCCTTTGCCTGGGAACCCCCAACTGATCTCTTCACTCCAAACGCCCAGGTCCTCGTGCTAGCTGCAGCCACAGGCCTCCACCACCATGTCTGGCACATCTGTCTTGACCACATTGCCATCGCGGTCCAGGTAGAGGAGAGAGAGAGGCCTCCGGGCCGTAGGGACACAGCAGGACGTGCCCAAGGACCAAGGGTTGTTGGCCTTGAGGAGGCTGAAGACGGCCGAATGGAAGGAGGCGGCGATGCCGGGGCTGCCGGCCAGGTGCGGGGGGCACTGTCCACTGCAGTAGTTTAGCTGGTACCCCTCGGGCTGCAGGATCCAGTCCCGCCATCCCAGCTCCTGGAAGTCGACATAGTGGTCTCGCCTGCAGCACAAGGGGGTCTCGGGCTCACAGGTGGGGGTCCTCCTCCTGGCCCGGCCCGCTCCGGGCTCCCTGGGCCAGATCTGGAGCTGCAGGAAGGGCCGCCGGTCCCCGGCCGTGTCCAGGAGCCGCCGCCGCTGCGGCTGCTGGGCAGAGGTGCGGTTGCCTGGCAGAAGCCTGCACTTCAGCTGGAGTTGCAGGACGGCGGACTCCTCAGCCCTCAGGCCACCAGAGGGCAGAGCGAGGGCGTGCCAGCCCGCGGCCGCCAGGTGCTGCTCGGCCAGGAGGGTGCGCGCCCCCCGCTGCCCGCCGCCCGGGTGCCGCCCGAAGACCCTCAGGTACAGCGAGCCGGGCGGCGGGGGCCGCGCGTGCAGCCAGAGGCGAGCCCGGGACAGCTGGTGGGGCTGAGCCGTGGACAGGTCGAAGGTGAGCACAGAGCTGCAGGCCGAGGTGGAGTCTGCCCAGGAGATGGCAAGGGGCAGGCACGTGAGCCGCGCGGCGCTGCTCCAGGCCCTGCAGGCCCAGCCCACCGCTCGCTCATCTGCAAGAATCGGGGACGCCTGGTGTCCCCCGCCCTGCTCAGCCGGTCCCTGCCCCAACTTCTCCTCCTCCCACACCCTGCTCGCCTGCCTTTCCTGTCGGGGAGGCCTCCCTCGCCCGCCTCTCCCTTACCCACCTGCCACCGTTGCAAAGCTGATGACCTCGTCTCCATCTGCTGTAGGCACGCTTCGGGGCTGTAGTCTGCGGAGGGCTCTGGCCAGCGCTGCCTGGGGAGGAGGGTGAGTTATCCTGGGACGACTGGTCAGGTGCAGCCCCTCCAGGATCTGCTGCTTGGCTAGCTCCAGGACCAGAGCTCGTTCTGCTTGGGGTGCCAGCATGGGGCCTCCGCAGCTGGGACATCCAGACCCTGCCCCCTGTGCCCACACCAGTGCCCAGAGCAGCACCAGCTGGGGCAGGACATCAGGGAGCCCCATGCTCCTGGAGAGTGGCCCTGGGTTGGGTCAGGAGCCTCGGATGGCAGTTGCTCCTTCTGTTGATATGATTGCGTGGAAGCCAATGAGGGCACAGCGGCAGCAGACAGCAGTGCCACACCTGCCCTTGGCCAAGGGTAGAGCCACCTGTCTTCTAGTGCCTGGGACTCAGGGAGGCTGCATGTGGATGGTCCTATGGGTGGCTGCGTATAGCGCATCTGCTAGTTTGGCCCTCACAGCTCATGGCTGGCTCCTGAGTGGGGCCTCTTTAGAGCCGCAAGCTGGGGCACCCTCACTTAGTGGTCAGCCAGCAGACCTACCCTCTGAGCCCCAGGATTGGCCACCTGTGCTGCCCATCAGGTCCCTGCAGGGGGTGGAGCCCCCCCCACCTCAGGTTTCACCATCTGGCCCTGGTCACTGAGTTTGAGGTAGGGGTATGGGGGTGGGGGGACAGTGTGGACACACATGATGCAAGAAAGAGAATGATTTCACATTCTCAGTCCCCAAGGTCTGGGGCTCGGGGGAGGGACGCATAGGAGCAAGGTGGGGAGGGCGATCTCCCCCCATACCTCTAGTCCTAACTTAAGCAGCCATTTCTGCTGCAGCAGCTCCTGAGGCAGCTGTGAGTTCCACTGGTTATCTCCCCAGGGTCTCTGGGCTGGAAGCAGAACTCTGGTCTCTCTATTCCTAGCAATAGGGCTAGGACATGGGGGAGAGGAACGGAGTCCTCCTGCCCAGGCCAAGGTGGCAGTGCCAGGGGGCACGGAAATCACCTCCTGACCCTGCCTGTGCTGGCTGCCCAGAGTCCAGTTGGACTGGAGCACAACGTGGAGGAGGGCTGGAGCATGGTGGGGGGGGTGGGGTGCATGTTACATGCATGTCTGGGGAAACCCAAAGAGGTAGGGGTGGTGGTGATGCAATCTGACAGCAGGGCAGAGTCCATCAAGGCTGGCAGTAGGGCATGGGACTTGGGCTGGGTCTCTTTAAGGTAAGGGGACTGTGGGAGTTACCTAAATCGGGGCATCCTGGAAGTGGTGCGAGGCCTCTGTGAGAGGGGGCAGGAAATGGGAGGTTTAAGAACTTTGAAGAGCAAGCGCGAGTGCGGGCGACCTTAGTTCCCATCTGGCCCTCTTTACACTCCTCACTGGCTAACGGGAGGGCCATGGTCCCTCCTCCTCGCACTTCCGACGGTAGACTTCATGCTAGCCTCTCTCCGGATGCCCCGGGTTTCTTCAAGAAGCTAGAAGGAAGGGCGTGTGATTTGGAACTGTGCCCCTACTGCATTTTATTCCCCCCCCCCCCCTTAGCCCAGTGGGGGCTGTCGAGAGCCCAGCAGATGGGGCACCTGGGAGCGGGACGGGAAGGGCGCGCCCCGGGGCGGGGCCTCAGTACCGCTGGTGTCCGCCACGTGGCGGTGTCGGGCCGCTGGGCGCCGCCGCCGGGCTGCCGGGAGCCGAGACGCAGCCGGCCAGCCTCTCGGTCCCCAGGCCCAGCCTCTCCCAGCGGAGCAGACACTAGTCCCCGTGCGCCCCCTCCGCCAGCACCGGGGCGCAGAGCCGTCGTCGCGCCCCACGCCGCTGCTACCTTTGGTTTCAGACCTCGTCACTTTGACACGTGGCAGTGGAGCTTGGTGATGGGTGCCAGGCCCTTCCCAGAAACGGTGTGGTGTCGGTGGGGGCGGGGGGTGGGGGACAAGGAGGTTTTAGACCCTCCTGTTCTCCCTACATTTCTCCCCCGGGGCGGGGGGGGGGACATTCAAGCCCCTCTGCCCAGTTCTCTCCCCCAGCTCTCCGCCACCTCTCTGTTGGTGGAGGCTGGTGAGTGACCGCCCTCTACCCCTGGAGTCTGGGACATCGAACGAACGCAAAGAAGTTTCTGCCCATGGTGGAGTCTCAGAGGGCCTACCTGTTGGCGCCGGACACAAGAGTCAAGGGAAGCTGCACAAAGTGGCTGCAAGAGTTGCTGACCCCACTTCTCCCCTACCCTCTATCAGGTGCCCCCAATTTTCAGCTCTTCCTACCCTCTTGCTGCTGTGCCTGGCCTGGCCTGGCCCTACCTCCCCACTGACACTTACGTCAGAACCCAGCTATAAATATGCTCTTACCATCTTAGTCACTTTCCCCAAGAAGTGCTCCCAGGTTATAAATACCCCAGCCATCTGCCTCACAGGCCCGCCCTACCACCAACCTGGTTGGGTGCTGGGGGGGGGGGGAGGGACAGGCTTGGGGGCGGGTAAGAAAGGAGAAGAAGCCCTAGTGATTATCTTGCCCAAATGAGAAAAGCCTGACAGTCTAGGGTTAGGGGCCAAGAGGCTCTGGGAGCAAAGGTTTGGAAGAAGACAGACCCACTCTTTCCCATTTTAACAGAAGGCAGAGCCAAAAAGAGAGGGAGTAATACCGATTCACTATTTATTTTAAAATTTGTGATTTTGTTCATCAAGGGTTTTTCGGCATTCATCTTGCTGTCTTAAAAATATTGCATTGATTATTGATCTCAATCGATGAATTTCTTGGCAGTCCCTTACAATTTTGCCCCCAAAGTGACTGCTGTACTTTACCTCGCCTTACTCTTGGCCCTGGGAACTAAGGCTGTAGCCGAAGGGAGAGAGCTTAGATCTAGGGGAGGGGTGGCTTGTGGGGCGGCCGTGGAAGGGGGAGGAAGAGGCACAGAAGACTTCCTTAGATGTTCCCCTTAGATGAGGATCTCCTCAAGGCAAAAATGGCATGGCTTCTGTGGGTTGCTTAGGAAGCCCCACAGCTTAGATCTGCAGGTCTCCTGAGGAGATCCCTTTTAGACTTTCTCCTCTAGGGTTCCTCTTCAGGGACCTCAGGCTCTGGAGGGGGGGTCATAAGCTGAGCAAACACAGACATCACGTTACCCAAAGGACACCTGGGTTTTGCGCAAACTCGGCCTTGGGCTGCAGACAATATTGATCCCATGGTTCAGGGCTGTCCAACCAAAGGGAGGGGATGATGGGGAAAGAAGGGCAAAGGTCTAGAGAGGACCCAGTCTCAGAGCAAATACCTTCCCTTCTCATTCCATGCCTTCCTTTTCTTCTCCTGGTCCCATGCAAGTGGCCCTAGGCCAGTTCCAGCTTCCAGGAAGGTCTCCTGGATGGAGTCCTGGGGGTCAGTGAGAGGAGGGAGCCAGCTCTGAGCCATGCCTCTGCCCCCACCCCCCCCCATGTGTGCTCACGGATCGTCAGCCTACTTGCTGATGGAGCAGTGATCTGTCTCATCTCTTGGAGTGAGCATGGAGGGAAGAGAAGAGCAAATACAACCTAAGCCTCTATCAGCTCTGAGACCAGCAAAGATGGCTCTGGGAGGGCGGAGGAGACCTAAGGAAGAAGAGGAGGCATGCTAGGAAAGGAAGGGGCATGAAGTGTGGGATGGACACAATAGCTCGGCCCTGAGGAGCCTGTGGGAGAGAGAGCAGAAGTGGGCAAGGCAGGTAGACTCTGGGTCACCCTTGGTATAGGCCAGGGTCCTGGCAAGAGACAAAAGACACATTCAGTTGTCTGTGTTTGCATCACTAACAAGCCTTAATGAAGAACTTATTTATACAGGTGTAGGCAGGCTTAAGGGAACCAGGGAGGGGCGTTGAAGCACCCAAGGACTAGCAAGAGTGGAAAGCCCTTACAGGCCCCTAGTGCGGAAGATATTGGAATGTAGGTAGAAATGGGGTCAGGGCGGCCAGATAGGAGCTGGAGGGACAGACCACAGCTTCTGTCACACAGATACATGGCACGGAGGCAGAGGGAACAGGAATAAGAAATATCTTGTCCTCCGTCTCCTCTTATCCTTTGACCTCCTGCCTGTGTCTACCTGTAAGGGGACAAATTCATCAGGAAGCCAGAGGCCAAAGGAGTTCAGGTGAGTCAGCCCTTAAGGGTATTGAGTAGGGCAGAGAAGGACAAAGAATGGATGAGGGTATGCCAAGAGAGCCTTCGCAGCCCACCAGGGCAAATAAGAAAGGGGCTTGAGATACAGAGAAGTGTAGCTGTGGACAGCGGTGATCTAATCTTCAGTGAATCCGGGGAAAGAGCTCTCTGGTAATCCAGAAAATCAGGGCAAGGGGCTGGTCAGCTCATCCTAGAGTGATGGCTATCAAGTTGGAAGAGCAGAGAAGGGTAGTGGATTATGGGATGGACTAAGAGTGGGCTTTGGGTGTCTGTGCCTGGGAACTAGACAGCACTGCTCACCCTGGGAACTAGACAGCACTGCTCACCGTCGCAGGTGGATTAGAGTCCCCGGGGTGGCAGTGGAGCCCGAGAGGCTTGCCAGATAGACTACATCCTAGGAGACTGGTGGTTATGAAGATGGGACGGTGACTGTCCTTAGACGAAGATCTCCTCAAGTCATAGCTGGGATCATTTCCATAGGTTGCTCAGGAAGAGGGAGCCCTCCTTCGGGACAGAGGCAGTAATGGGGTGTCATTCCCACCTCTCAAGAAAGAGTGCCTCTATGAGGGCATGTTCGGTTACCCCACTTGGGCTGCCTGTCGGCACAGGAACTAACTACACCCACAGGCCTCTACCACCATGTCAGGTATGTCAGTCTTGACAACGTTGCTGTCCCTGTCGTAGTAGAGCAGAGATAGGGGGCGCCGGGCTGTGGGCACACAGCATGAGCCCCCTCCGGCGGTACCGGCAGCTGTGTTGGCCTTGAGAAGGTTGAGCACCGCAGTGTGAAAGGAGGCAGCAATGCCAGGCATGCCTGCCACATGCAGTGGGCACTGCCCTGTGCAGAAGTTCATTGCATAGCCCTCAGGCTGGATGATCCAGTCATGCCAGCCAATGTCACGAAAGTCCACGAAGAACTCTTGGCGACAACACATCCGGGATCCACCCTGGCAGTTGATGCCTCGCCGGTGAACCCGGTGCTTACCACCAGCTTTCACCTTGGCTGACACAAAAGGCCTATGGGCAGCCCCACCCAGTATGACTGAGCTCCAGGCTCCTTGGCCTTCAGGTACCAGCTCCAGGGTCAGGTGCCCTTGGTTGCAGGCAGCCTGAGCTTCAGGCCCCAGGAAGAGCTGGTGCCAGCCACTGGCATCCACGTCCAGCAGGTGCTGAGTGGCCGAGGTGAGGTTGGTGTCACGTGAGCTTAGCACAAGGATCTTCAGCTTCAAAGTCTGGGTGGTATTGGGAGGGATCTGTACAAAGAACATGAGGCTGGCCTGCTGGATCTCCATGCCACTAGCAGTTCTATCAGAGAAGTGGAAATCAAGACGAGTCTGGTTGATGTCGGAGAGCCCTGTGGACACAAGAAGCCCCAGTCACTGTGGCCTTCCGAGTGTCAATTTTACCAGCTACCTCTTAATTCTCAAGTATACTTGAACTCTCTGCAGCATTCGGCATAGTTGACCACCCTTTCTTTCTTGAAAATCTTTTCTTTCTTGGCTTCTATGACACAACTCTTATGATTCTTTGATTTTGTTTGCTGGCTTTTCTTTCTCTGGCCATTGTTCAATGCAAGAGTCCTCCAAAATTTGTCTTTGACCTTCATTTCCTTTTACTCTCTACTCAAGGGAGTTCTTATCCACACTCATGCTCAGCCAACACAGTTTTTATGTGGTGATTCCCAAATCTGGATGTCTAGTTCAGACTGATTTTGGACCTCTGGACTCGACGTATAGATTTGGGAATCAACAAACTTTAGGTCTAAATTTCTAACTGCTTGGGGCACTTGGGTGGCTCAGTGGCTGTGCGTCTGCCTTTGGCTCAGGGTGTGATCCTGGAGTCCCGGGATCGAGTCCCACATCAGGCTCCCTGCATGGAGCCTGCTTCTCCCTCTGCCTGTGTCTCTGCCTCTCTCTCTGTGTCTCTCATGAATAAATATTTTTTTAAAAAAGTTTTAAAAAATAAAATAAATTTCTAACTGCTTAATTTTGCCACATGACTGTCCTGCCAGTACATTAAAATCAAATTTTGGGGACCCCTGGATGGCTCAGTGGTTGAGCATCTGTCTTTGGTTCAGGGCGTGATCCTGGTCCGGGATCAAGTCCCGTATTGGGCTTCTTGCGTGGAGCCTACTTCGCCCTCTGTCTATGTCTCTGCCTCTCTCTGTGTCTCTCATGAATATATAAATAAAATCTTTAAAATAATCATTTTTCCCCAAATGGAAGTCACTCTTTTCCTTCTTATATACCCTCTTTCTGTTCTTCGAGTTGGAGACACCACTACCCTCTTTATCATCTCCAGAAACCCCCCTCTGTGAGCACCCCTCTATCCCCATATCCAGTCCCTCAGCACAGTGATTCTATGTATTTCTCCTTATCACTATTATTCTTGTCCAGTCTTCTCTCTTCATCCCTCACCTGCCCTACTGAAACACTTTAATTGGTTTTCTATTCCCTCCACTCCACTGAAACTGCTCTTGTCAGGATCACCGACACTTTCCATATTGCCCAATCCAATGGTTTCACCTCTTTATATTCATCTTACTTGACCTTTAAGCAGTGTTTGGCACACTTTTTTTTTCTTTAAAGTGTTTGACACACTTAATCATTCCCTCCTTCTTGAAATATTTCCTTCTCTTGGCTTTTGTGACTCTGGCCACTCTATCTTGGTCTGTTGCTGACAGCTCTTCTTCCTCTGCCTGACCTCTAGTTGTTGATGGTCCTGAACTCCCTTCTTTTCTCTATCTATATTCTTTTTGAGAAGCATCTCATCAATTCCCATAGCTTTCTATTCCATCTGTATGCTGATGACTCCCAAATATATATCCTTGGCCCTGACTTTCCCTGATTTTCAGGCTTGTATATCCTGCTGCTGATCTGATATTCTATTTGGATATCCAGTGATATTTCAAACTTTTCACCTTCAAAGATAAACTCAAGATTTATCCCCCCAGCCCAAACCTATTCCTTTTCTGACCTAATTCCCTATACATGCATTGCTTAAGGCAAAATCTTATTGCTCTCATTCCCTACTTTAAAATTATCTGCAAGATCTGGGGTGCCTGGGTGGCTCAGTCAGTTAAGCATCAACTCTTGATTTCAGCTCAGGTTATGACTTCAGGGTTGTGAGATCAAGCCCTGCACCCGGCTCTGCACTCGGCATGGGGTCTGCTTGAGATTCTTCCTTTCTCTCTGCCTCTGCCCCTCCATCCCACTTGTGCATGCTCTCTCTGTCTCTCAAAGTAAATGAATAAAATCTTTAAAAAAATAATAAATAGGGACTCCTGGGTGGCTCAGCAGTTGGGTGTCAGCCTTCGCCTCAGGTCATGATCCCGGTGTCCTGGGATCGAGTCCTACGTCGTGCCCCCTGCATGGAGCCTGCTTCTCACTCTGCCTGTGTCTCTGCCTCTCTCTCTGTGTGTCTCTCATGAACAAATAAAATCTTTGCCAAAAAATTTTAAAAACAAAATAAAAAATAAGCTATCTGCAAGATCTGCCCACTCTACCTCCAATTCATGAAATAATTTCACTAATCCCTACCTACTCTACTATATATTAACCCACAGTCAACTTTTTCTTGAATTATAGCAATAGCTTCCAAAGTGGTCCACTGCTGTCCCCCAAACCATTCTCTATATATCAGCCAGAACGCATTTTATTAAATAAATTTGATCAGCTTAATCTCTTCAGCCTAAGACCCCTTGGAGGCTTCCCATCACTATTTGAATAAAATCTAACCTCCCCCCCTTTTTTTTACCTCCCCCCTTTTAAAAAAAGATTTTATTTGTTTATTCATGAGAATACACAGAGAGGAGAGAGAGAGACAGAGACACAGGCAAAGGGAGAAGCAGGCTCCATGCAGGGAGCCCAATGAAGGACTCGATCCTGGGTCTCCAGGATCACGCTCTGGGCTGAAGGTGGCACTAAACCGCTGAGCCACCCAGGGATCCCAAATCTAAACCCCTTAACACAGAAAACTCATATGATCAGGCATTCTATTTAATGGCTATGTTCTACCTATACTGGCTCTTTTCTACTCCTTGAACTCAATAAACATGGACTCACCTCATGGCCTTTGCACTTGCTCTTCCCCTTGTGTGAAATGTCTTAATTTTTTTTTTTAAAAAAAGATCTTGGGATCCCTAGGGGGCTCAGCGGTTTAGTACCACCTTCAGCCCAGGGTGTGATCCTGGAGACCCAGGATCGAGTCCCACGTTGGGTTCCCTGCGTGGAGCCCGTTTCTCCGGCTGCCTGTGTCTCTGCCTCTCTCTCTGTGTGTTTCTCATGAATAAATAAATAAAGTCTTAAAAAAAATCTTATTTGCTTGAGAGAGAGAGAGAGCACAAGCAGGAGGAGCAGCAGAGGGAGAGGGAGAAGCAGGCTCCCCACTGAGTGGAGAGCCCAATGTGGGACCCAATTCCAGGACCCCAAGATTAGGACCCTGGGATCATGACCCAAGATGAACGCAGATGGTTAACCCTGAGCCACCCAGGGAACACCCCCCCCGCCCCCAATCTGAAATGTCTTTCCAAGATTTTTTTTTTTTTTTTTAATTTTTATTTATTTATGATAGTCACACAGTGAGAGAGAGAGAGAGGCAGAGACACAGGCAGAGGGAGAAGCAGACTCCATGCACCGGGAGCCTGACGTGGGATTCGATTCCGGGTCTCCAGGATCGCGCCCTGGGCCAAAGGCAAGCGCCAAACCGCTGCGCCACCCAGGGATCCCTCTTTCCAAGATTTTTGATTGACTGGCTTCTTTTTGGCACTCAGCTCAAATGTCCCTTGCTCGTAGAGGCTTCTCTGACTAACCTATCTAAAGCAGCCTTCAACTCTATCTCTGTCTCTCTAATACACCATCCTGCTTAACTGTCATTGTAGCTACTATTACTCTCTGTAGACTTCTTGTTTATTTTTTGTTTCTTTTGTTTTTGTTTTTGTTTTTAATCTGGGCATGGCTGTGTGACTTGATTTGGCCAATGAGACAGGCAAGCACAGTGCAAGCAGAAACCTGATAAGTATTTACACAATGATGCTTTGCCCTTTTGGAAGCTAGCTACCATGCTTTAAAGATATTGGGGCTAGACTCTTGAATGATGAGAAGCCATGTGGAGAGACACTTTGAGGATCAGAGACCATCTCAGATGTTCTAGCACCATCTAAACTCCTGACTGAATGTAGTTATTTCAGTGACTTCAGCTACTCCTCAGATGGAGATGAAGAACTGTCCAGATAAGCCCAAAGCACAAAAATCATCAGAAATACCTAATTTCTTGTTTTAAGCCTCTGTCTTTGCACTGGTTACTTATATTAACTGGTAACTGAAACAGAAATTAGTAACAGAGGTAGGGTACTCCATAACAAAGACGTAAAATATGTTGCTTTGACTTTGGGACTGGGTGGCAGGCAGAGAGGTTGAAAGGATGGTGAGGAGACTGTTAGTGAAGGTAGGGAGAACAGTGAGGAAATTGCTATCAGAAGCTGGAGAAAGGGGAACCTGTGTTATGTATTGGCTATCATCTGCAGCAACTTGGAAGCTAGAAATGGTATCTAACAAAGTTGTGAATTTAGCTAAAGATATTTCCAGGGAGAATGTTGAAAGTGCCAATTGGCTTATTTTAGCTGCCTATGATAAGGCATTTCAGGCGTGAGATGAACTAAAAAAGAAACTGTTCAATTTTCAAGCAGAATTTAGAGAAAATATTTCCAACAGGACTTGCTAGATTGAACAATAAGATATTTTTTTCATTCCTCACCTATGTGTCTGGCAAAAGATTCTTAAGGTGAGAAATAGTCTCAGGGCAAAATCACATCCAGGGCATTGCCAGTAAAATATGGTCTCAGAGCGAAGATCAAAACATTTAATAAAGGGTCAATTGTAAGACCCTTTGTTAAGATTTAACACCTCTGTTGGGACACCTGGGAGGCTCAGTGGTTGAGTATCAGCCTTTGGCTCAGGTTGTGATCCTGGGGTCCTGGGATGGAGTTCCGCATCAGGCTCCCTGCAGGGAGCCTGCTTCTCCCTCTGCCTGTGTCTCTGCCTGTCTCTGTGTCTCTCATGAATGAATGAATGAATAAATAAATAAATACATAAATAAATAAAATCTTTACAAAAAGATCTAACGCCTCTGTTAAATCTTAAAAATTTAAGATGATGTTCTGTAGATCCTCTTAACTAGATAATAGGGCTTCTAAGAATCTTAAAGTGTATCGACTCACAACACCCTGACTTGTAACCAACCTAAAGAGGGGTCTGTCTTGAATAAGTTGACTGCCTTTTTGTCTAATTGAGCAGACTATAATTTATTATTTAGAAGGCCCACAGGGCTTCACAGAAGATTTTAGTAGGGAAAGCAGCACCAGTTTGGACTAAAAGCTACAGAGATGATTCAAAATGAAAAGAGGTCTCTGGGCCCCTAACTTCTTTGGGCAGGAAGCAGGCTGAGAAAACTGCTCAGCCACAGACACAGGTCATTTCCTATTTAAAAGGAAAGACATCTCAGAGGGTGGAGCCAAGAGCTGAGACAGTAGATCTAGAAGAAGAGCACTGAGAGAAAAATCCTACCAGGGACCAGGACTAAACCCTGAAGGAATTCTGGATTTGGGGTAGACTGAGATATATGCCTGGCTGGATATCAGAACTTTCATGGATCAATGACTGTACTGTGTCCCCCAGCCCCCCTGTCATCTTCATCGAACAGGAGTATCTATTATGGTTATCCTGTCCCTGTGTCAGCAATGTATGTTAGGTGTGTGGGAGGCAGATACCTTGCATTTTTAGGTCACAAGCAGTAGTATGTATGTTGGTAAATGTTTAACAACTGGATTCCAGAGGGAAATAAATCCCGATTTGTAGTGTTTGCCAGTTTCTGTGGTATAAATTCTCCCACCACGGCCAATTTCAAACTATTAATGTGACATCACTGGATGCAGACTTGGGAGGTGTTCATCCTCTGTTGGCATGAGCAGTTCCAGGACATCACTGAGGGCCCCTACCCCAGTTTCCGCAGAGCCCCACACTCCCTCTTCCTACGCATACAGGTCTTGCTTTCACATTATTGTGTGGATGATAGCTTAAATTGGAATAAAAGCTCCAAGCTAACATATCGAAATGCAAAAGGTAGAATCTGGGTATCAGTCATTCTCACTTCCAAATGTCATCCCAGATCAGGCCCCCTCTGGGTGAATGTTGTACTCATTCACTGATTAGCAAATATGTGGAAAATATATAGACTTTGAAGTCAGAGAGAACGGTGTTTGAATTCTGCCCCTTGCAAGCTGGATGACCTTGACCATGTAAATGATCTTCTTTGAGTGTCAGTTTCTGCTTTCATAAGATGGGAATAATAAACTCTGCTTTACAGCCTGGGTAGTTGTGAGGATTCATTGAGATGAGACAGGCACACTAAATACCTGGTAGCCATCTTTATTGTCACAATGTGGCCAGGAACTGGTGTCAGGGATACAAAGGTGGGAAAAAAAAAAAAAAACACAAAAAACAAAAAACCAAAACCCCAACCAGGATCTTGGTGTTCAAGGGAGCCATGGTTCATGGTCATCTGTCCACCTTGTGCTCATCCATTCTAAGCTACTTTTCTTTCTTTCCTTCTTTTTTGTTTTTGTCTTTTAAGGTTTTATTTATTTATTTGAGAGAGAGAAAGCACGAGAAAACATAGCAGGGGGAGGGAGAGGGGAGAAACAGGCTCCCCACCGAGCAAGGAACCTGATGTGGGGCTCCATCCCAGGGCCTGGGATCACAGCCTGAGCTGAAGGTGGCCACTTAACCAACTGAACCATCCAGGTGGTCTCCAAGCTACTTTTCTTTTTTTTTTTATAATCTTTTTTTTTTAATTTTTTTTAATTTATGATAGTCACAGAGAGAGAGAGAGAGAGAGAGAGAGAGAGAGAGAGAGAGAGGCAGAGACACAGGCAGAGGGAGAAGCAGGCTCCATGCACCGGGAGCCCGACGTGGGATTCGATCCTGGGTCGCCAGGATCGCGCCCTGGGCCAAAGGCAGGCGCCAAACCGCTGTGCCACCCAGGGATCCCCTCCAAGCTACTTTTCAACTCCAAATTCAGTTTGCTCTTTCAGACTCTACCGCACATTTCTCTTTCTTTTAGAATGTTGTTGGGGGGGGAGGGGGTGTTCCTGGGTGGCTCAGCGGTTTAGCGCCTGCCTTTGTGCCCGGGTGTGATCCTCGAGTCGCAGGATCCTCGAGGATCCTCGAGTCCCCGGATCAAGTCCCACGTTGTGCTCCCTGAAGCTGCCTGCTTCTGCCTCTGGCTGTGTCTCTGCCTCTGTGTGTGTGTGTCTCATGAATAAATAAATAAAATCTTTAAAAAAATGTTGTTTACCATTTTCTACCATTAAAGTCAAACATATTCTACAATACTAGTCCATTTGCAATCTTCTGAAAGACTTCCCTGACTCACTAGGACCCAACGAATAACTCCTGACCCAGCAAGCTCTGTGCCCTCCTCTAGCATTATTTCATTCTTCCTTACCTTCTAATTCATTTATTCCCAACAGCAGCAACTACACCCCTCATGGGAAGGAGGGAATCTTCGATTTCTTGCTCTCCCCCATCTTAACCTTCTAAGAACATTACCTGTTTTACTTCATTTAATTCTCTCAACTATCCTCTCATTAACCCCATTTTACAAATGAGAAAACTGTTAACAACCCAGGTCACACATTAATTAGCAGCTGAGCAAGGATTTGAACCCAGGCTTATCTGGTTCCAAAGTTTGTGTTTTTCATCATAGGCAGGGGTGCCTTGAATTGGAGCCAAAATCAAGAGTGGGCCGCTTTACTGACTTAGCCACCCAGGCATCCCACAGTTTTCAGTAGTTTTAAAATTAGGATAACAATAGTACTTGCCTCACTGGGTTGTTGTGAGGATGATCTCAAGGAGTTTGTGTATGTAAAAAGCTTAGGATAACGGAGATGTTACGTAGGTGTCAGTTATTAGCTTCTGGTGATAACATGGGGAATAAATGACAGTTCCTGACCTCAAGGGGTCTACATTTAATAGGTAAATGGACTTCCCAGGAAACCTGGAGGGAGGCAATTTCTCATGGAGTTTAGTTTCAGGGCGAGGGGGCAGGGGAGCCACTGGAGAGAGAGCCCCTCACCCTCAGGTCAGGGTGGGTTTTTTCAAGACAGGAGTGCTGGGTCTTTTTTTTTTTTTTTTTTAAGATTTTATTTATTTATTCATGAGAGACAGAGAGAGAGAGGCCAAGACATAGGCAGAGGGAGAAGCAGGCTCCTTGCAGGGAACCTGATGTGGAACCAGATCCCAGGACTCCAGGATCATGTCCTGGGGCTGAAGGCAGATGCTCAACTGCTGAGCCACCCAGGCGTCCCAGGAGTGCTAGGTCTTGAAGAGAGAGGAGAGTGGGTGCTGACCAGGAAAAAGGGGTCAGGAATGGGAAGGACCTTCTAGACCCACGGAGGAGCTCGCAAGAAGCTCAGAGGCCAAAGAGATCACTTGGTGTTCTGTTCCTAGGGTCCTGTCTCCAAATTCTTGACCTTCTCTCCAGCTACCCGCTGTAAATTCTCCAACTCCTCTTTTCTCTCTGGACTTAACTCTCCCTTCTTCTCTATCTTCTATCCTTTATTCCCCACTTTGACCCCGTTCTGATGTGAGGGCCGAAGGTATTAAGATGAGGGAGCAAGGGTAGGCTGGAGGAGTATTGTAGTCCTGGTGTCTTACTTTTTCCCTTTTCACTCAGATGAGGCATCTGGGGGATGGGGAGACAGGGGCCGGAGAAAGGACAGACTGCCTAGCTCCCAGCTGAAGTTGGGTGCAGGCCCAAGAAGTGGATGAGCTCACACCACAGCCTGTGGAAGTTTGTGGGAGCCAGAGGAGATGCAGGCAGGCAGTCTCAAAAGAAGTGAAATCTACCCACTTCCCAGCTGCCCATTGGTCAAGTCTAACTAAGAGAGAGCAGGGGGTGGGGTGGGAGCATAGGGTTAGGAGATTATAGACCATGGGAAGCAGGAGTTGGGAGAGTTTGGGGGAGGGAGGCAGGGGTTAGGCTGGGGAGGAGACTTTTCCTTCCTTGGGGGAAGATCTACAGAACAGAAACCCACCTGTGTCAGCAAAGCTGATGATCTCATATTCCTGTTCTCCGTCAGCCTCCGGAAGCATCCCCTGCGGGGGCCCGTGGAGGCGCTGCAGGGCGGCCCTCAGAGCAGCTCTGGACACAGGCCTGCTCAGTGTTGGGCGCTGGCTGAGGCGCAGCTTCTCCAAGATGCTTCTCTTGGCCAGGTCAAGCAGCAGCTCCCGCTGGCGCTCCACGTCCACGGCGGGTCCTCCACATGCCAGACACTGACTGTCAGCCCTGGGAATGGCCACCGTAGCCGGCGCCAGGAACAGGAAGGCCAGGAGTAATGGGGAGATCATTGCCGAGGGAGGCCGTCTTTTAGGGACAGGGTGGAGATAGGGCCCTAAAACCGGGGCTCAGGATCTCAACAGCTGTGGTCTCCGCTCCAGCCTGGCCGCCGGGGGCCCTGGAAGGAGAATGCGTCCAGCTGGCATGACTCCTTGTTGCAGGGGTCAGAGCAGCCAAACATCTGACTTGAGAGATGAAGCCAGTTGCAGGTAGAACTTGGCAGAAGCCTCTCCCACATAGTCAGTGAACGGACAGAGTGGGGGATGTGAGGGGAGGTTGTTTTGTTTGGGGAAAGAAATGTCCCAGGGCCAATGTCGGGAGACTGTGGGTTACCCACGTAAGCTGCCAGGCCCGGGGACAAAGGTTAGAGATGAAATTCCCCTTCAGCTCAAAGGCCTTGCTGGGAAGCCTGGAGGAAGAGGAAGAGGCGAGAGGTTTTAAGACAGAGTGTTAAAGAGTGCCTCTCAAGCCAGAGGGTCCCCGACAGGGCACTCTATGTCATTGCCATTCGGATAATTGGGAGTTTCACTTTCCTTTGCCTGGTACTTCTCAAAGCCCCTCTGCCCCCTTTCTCCCTCCCTGAGGCTCATAATGCAGACTCCTTTGTTCACCATCCCCTCCTCTACCCCTGTCCACTGGACTCGAAACTAGCCATGAAGATTAAGAGAAAGGAGGGGATGTGTTCCAGCCAGGTCTTCTGTAGCTTTAGGGGGAAGTCTGAAGGTGGGAAAGCTAGATTTGCTTACCCTTTGAGGATTCTTCTATTTAGGAAAATAAATTTTGACATTTCTCGGAATCCCTGGTCCTCCAAAGGTCCTGACCAGTGTTTCTGCCACCACAGGGTTTTACTGGGCAGGAATGGTGGGTGGAATTAGGAGGATAGGTGTTTAAACCAGATGATGTCGGTCAAAATTCTGTCTCTTCCTTTTATTAGCTGTGTGACTCTGGGCAAGTTACTTGACCTCTCTTGCTTTCATTTCTTCATTGGAGAAATGGGAAAAATGATCACCCTTGATTCCAAAATCCAAAAAAACCTCATAATCCACTATTGTTTTTTTGTAACTCATATGGTGACCCGAACAGAGGGAGGGTTATCTATGATCATTTAAAAAATTGTACTGAAGGATGTTCCTGGGTGGCTCAGCGGTTTGGAGCCTGCCTTTGGCCCAGGGTGTGATCCTGGAGACCTGGGATCGAGTCCCACATCGGGCTCCCTGCATGGAGCCTGCTTCTTCCTCTGCCTGTGTCTCTGCCTCTCTCTCTCTCTGTGTGTCTCTTGTGAATAAATAGATAAAATGTTAAAAAAAATTGTACTGAAACTATTTGTACATTTTTACTCCAGAAATATCAGTTATTTGATTATGGGATACCCCTGGGGGTATTCTATAATACACAGTATGTGTATCATTTTACCTTCCTAAAACCTGAAATTTTCTGATTTCTGAAACATGTCTGACTCTATGGACTCTGAATAGGGAATTGTAGATCTGTAATATCTCAGAGTTTTGAGATTTAAATAATTTTGTAAAGCAAAAATACAGTGGCTGACACACAGCAAGTGCTTAACAAAAGTTTTATTATTTCTGCTATGCAGGTTTTTTTGTGGGCCCGAGTACCCGCACCTCTAGATGTGCTGAAGAAATTCTGCCAATATCCGCGGTTCTCAGCTCTTCTTTCTTAGATGCCATGCCCCCAATCTTGGTCTGCAGCGCACTTGGCCAGTCTGTTGCTTTCCTTGTATTCCCAGCATCACACACAGGGCCTGATCTATCAGTGTTTATTTTATATTTTTATTTTTTTAAAGATTTTATTTACTTATTCATGAGAGACACAGACACACACACACACACACACACACACACACACACACAGGCAAGGGGAGAAGCAGGCTCCATGCAGGGACCCCTGCGTGGGACTCGATCCCAGGTCATGCCCTGGGCTGAAGGCGGCGCTAGACCTCTGAGCCACCCAGGTGTCCCCAGGATCTATCAGTGACTAAAGGTGTGGGAATACCCTCCTCCGTGTTATGGAGTTAGTTGACATCCATCACTGTGTATGTTTAAGGCACGCAGCACTAACCTCTCCGGGGCTCACTCAATCTCCCTTACCTCTGGGAACGAATTGCTCCTCCTGGTTCCCGCAGCACATTGAACGTGTCTCTACTGATAGCACTTACATTGTACTGTAATTATTTTTTGCCTACTGCAGTTCTTGTGACATAGTAAATATGTAATAGTCAAATTCTATCAATGTTAAGACTACAGCGCTTCTTTGAGGGAGTTGGTCAGTCAATGACCCACATACATCTAATCGATAACTAAATTGATTCTGCCTCCAACGGGCCCAATGGGGGAGGCTGCAGACTCAAATGACTGGCAAGGGAAAGAACCACATCTTGGAATGGGGTGTAAGTGAGTTTAATAGGATAGACTTAAACCTGCTTTTTTTGTTTATGCACTTATGTATTTGTTTTAAAAGATTTTATTTATTCATGAGACACGGGGGGAGGGGGGAGGCAGGGACACAGGCAGAGGGAGAAGCAGGCTCCCCGCAGGGTAGCCCCCAGCGGGGCTCCATCCGGGACCCGGGGTCATGGGGTCACGACCTGGGCCGAAGGCGGACGCTCACCCGCCCCGCCGAGCCCCCGCCGAGCCCCGGGGCGCCCCTACACCTGCTTTAGAGAGAACTCAATTTCTTACATCTGGAAAACACGGGCGTCCGCCTCGCCCCGACCCTTGCCCGTTCATCCCACAAGCGTCTATCGCGGGGTTGCTGCCCTGCGCGGGAGGCTGTTCTGAACGCGCTCGCGCTCGGTGAATCTCGGCCTCGTCCCGGAGTCAGGAGCACGTTCGGGGCTGCGGCGACGCCGACGGTCCTGAGGGACTCCGCGGGCTGAGGGCGCCGCGGCCCTCCTGACACACAGCGCGGGCGAGCGACGGAGCAGGCGCGCGGGGCGCAGAGAGGCGGCGGCGGCCTGGCGGGGCGGCGGCGGCCTGGCGGGGCGCGGGAGAGCGGCCCCCAGGCGGCGGGGCGCGCGGGGCGCAGGGCGCGCTGACGACGACGCCGGACGTGCTGACGTAGCGCGCAGGCCGCAGCGGGGGGCGGACTCCGGGCCTTTCTTCCCCTTCTGGTTCCCCCTCCCCCTTTTCTCCCTTTCCGGGTCTGGTTCCCCCTCTTCTCCCCTCTCCCCCTTCTTTCCCAAGCCCCTTCCCCCCCCCCGCCCCGGTCCCCCCTGCTCCCCCGCCCTGGGCCCCGGGGAAACCCCCGCCGAGAAGAGCCCGCCCCCAGGAGCGCGCCGCCGCCGGCCGTCGGGGCCGAGCCGCAGCCGAGCGGCCGTGGGCCCGGGCGGCGGGCGGAGACGCGGGCGCCCTCCCCGCGGCGGCCCGCGCGAGGTGAGGCCACCTCCGGGCCGGGAGGGCGGGCGGCGCGGGCGGCCCGTGGGGAGGGGGCGTGGCGGCGGCGGCGGCCTGGGTGCCGCCGGGGGCGGGGGGTCGGGGCCGGAACCCCGTGCGGGGCGGCCCGCGGCGCCGCGAGTGTGCACGGAGAGCGCAGGCGAGGAGCCGGGCCGGGGGCGCGGGCGCGGGGGCGGGCGCGGGCGCGGGCGGGCGCGGGCGGGCGGGCGCCACCTGTGGCCTGTGCCCGGCCGGGAACTGTTGCGCCCTGCGGCGTGGGGCAGGCCCGCTCCATGTGTTTCTTGGGTCTCCGTGTTCCTTTGAGCCTTGGAAAGATTGTGTGTGTGTGTGTGTGTGTGTGTGTGTGTGTGTGTGTGTGTGTCGGGGGGGGGGCTGGAGCCTCCCGATGCTCGGCCGATGCCTGAGTTACTGGAGGACGCGGATCCGAGCCGGAGCGTCCAGGACGAGGTTTCCGGAGCCTAAAAGTCGGGCCTGCATCAGGCTCCTCACTCACTCTTGAGCCTCTTAAAACTCTTGGTAACTCCGCAGAATAACTATCCACTCAATGGATTGTTCTGGGATAATGAGGAGACGTGTTTTCCAGGTTTATTGAGAAATCATTGACACGTATTACCGTGTGTATTTAAGGCACGCAGCTTGATGGCTGAAATGATTATCAAAATAGGCTCAGCTAGCCTCCGTCCTCTTGTATGGATACAATCAAAAGAAAGAAGGAAAAAGAAAATAATTTTTCCCCTTGTGATGAGAATTCTTAGGATTTACTAACAACTTTCCTAAAAATCTCATAGCAGTGGCCGCCATAGTCACGTTATAGGTCACGTTCCCTACTCCTTATTTTATAACAGAAAATTTGTGCCTCTTGACCCCCTTTCTGCAATGCCCCCTTACCTTAGGCTCTGCCTCTCTTTTTTTTAAGTTTTTTTTTTTTAATTTATTTGTTTATGATAGTCACAGAGAGAGAGAGAGGCAGAGGGAGAAGCAGAGGCAGAAGGAGAAGCAGGCTCCATGCACCGGGAGCCCGATGTGGGAATCGATCCCGGGTCTCCAGGATCGCGCCCTGGGCCAAAGGCAGGCGCCAAACCGCTGCGCCACCCAGGGATCCCCGGGACAACCCCTTTCTTGATGCCAGTCCCTTCTTTTATTTCCAACATTTCTTTTTCTTTCCTTTTCTTCCTTTTTTTTTTTTTATTCTAAAGATTTTATTTATTTATTCATTCATGAGAGATACAGAGAGAGAGGCAGACACATAGGCAGAGGGAGAAGCAGGCTCCATGCACCGGGAGCCCGACGTGGGATTCGATCCCGGGTCTCCAGGATCGCGCCCTGGGCCAAAGGCAGGCGCCAAACCGCTGCGCCACCCAGGGATCCCACGCTCTGCCTCTCTTAACCACAAGTCGGATCTCCTTCTGCAGCTTGGTTGGTTTTTTTTAGATTCCACACAGAAGTGAGATCTACACTGTCTTTCTCTGATTCACATGCCTTTGAGGTCTATCCGTGTTGTCTCAAATGGTACAATTTCCTCCTTTTTTATGGCTAATATTTCATTACACACACACACACACACACACCCCGCACAACTTCATCCATCCATCCATCCATCCATGGACATTTAGGTTGTTTCCCTGTTTTTGCCAGTGTTAATGCTGCCATGAACACGGGGTTGCAGATACCTCTCAGAGTCCGTGTTTTTCTTGGTGTGGGAAAGTTTAAATTCAGATCCCAGTTGGATGAATATTCTTGTGTACATTTTTTTTTTTTCAGATAGATTTAACGGAAATAGAGGAGCCTGAGTTCTGTCTGATTTTGGTGGGCA